GACGGCGGCGGCGTCGCGCCCACTGCTCCCGCGGCGCTGAGGGAGCTGGAGGCGGTCACAGGCGGCGCGTCCCCAACCCAGGAGACGGGGCCCCTGGAGGACCCCGCATCGTCGCCTTCGCGCTGCGCGCCTCAGGGCACGCGCCCCAAAGCCCGGCCAGCTGGCCCTTTGGGCACCTCGGCAGAGCAGCAGGGAAGACTTGTCGCCTCACGCTCGCTACGCTCTGACTCCCGCCATCTAAAATGGCGGCCCCAGCGTCCGCGAAGAAGACGCTCTCAGAGGCCGGCGAGCGAGCGTTCTGCTCGGCGCTCCTCCTCCTGGCCTGCGGCGCCCGTTCTCGGTTTCAGTGCGAACTCTCCAGGCGAGGTCGAGGATCTACAGCTCTGGCCTGCACTCGGGCACCGCCTCGGGGCGTGGCCTCGAGGTGGGGGCGTGGCCCCGCGGTGCGGGCTGCGGCCATTTCCGAGCCAGGCGGCGGTGGGCGGAGGTGCGGGACGGGGCTGGGCTGGCCGCTGGAGTCCTTTGTGACCCAGACGCCTACCTGGAGGCCGGCTTCTCCCGTCTAAGCCTCAGTTTCCCCGTCTGCGCGAGGACAGAGATGGATCATCGCAAAAGTCGTCCAGTAAGAGACACAGTTCCGTTAGCAATTGTATCACAATACCCCTGGCCTCCCACACACTGACCCCGTGCCACTCGCCGCAGCGGTTCATGAGCCCTCCTTACCTGACCTGCCCGGGCTCACGACAGCCTCCAAGGATCTGCTGGGGCTGAGCGCCAGGTGCAACGTGCTATGCTCTGGGGCTAGGACTGCCTCTAGGGCCCAGAGAGGCAGACTGTGGCCCAGAGCCAGTCCCCTAAGGCCATAATGGAACGGCGGCGTCGGGGTCAGGCTCCAGGTCGGGTGGCAGCCGCAGGATATGCCCTGAGGTCCTTTGCCGGGAAGCCTCTCGAAGTCTGTCATCCTGGGAGACAGTGCAAAGTGAAGGGCTGCGCAGGCGTAGTGGCGCACACCTGTAATCTCAGCTTTCAGGAGGCTGAGGCAGGAGAGTCGAAGTGAGTTCGAGGCCAGCCTGAGCTACATTGGGAGACCCTGTTTCAAAAAAAAAAAAA